TACAAAAAAAAAAAAAAAAAAAAAAAAAAAAAAAAAAAAAAAAAGCACAATATACATTTTACAAAAGCTTTACCATTATTTTTGTGCAAGCACATGTGTCAGTTTGCTTGTGTGCACGTGCACATGATCATGTGTGTGCCTGTGTGAATTAAAGCACACCACAAACATACAGGCGCCCATGGAGGTCAGAAGAGGGTATTCTATAATCTAGAACAGGAGTACAGACAGCTGAGCTGTTGGTTGCTATGTGAGTGCTGGGGACTGAACCTGGGTCCCCTGCAAGAGCAGTTAGTTAAGCACTGACGCTGACCCATCTCTCTAGTCCTATGATACACTTTTTAAATTTGAAAAAATAATAAAGGCAGGGTATGGTAGCATATGCAGTTAAGAGACAGAAAGATTAGGAGTCCAAGGTCATCTTTACTACAAGAGGGAGTTTGAAGCCAGCGTGAGCTATATGAGAGCCTGTCTGGGGGAGGGGGGAAGAGTCAGACTTATTGACACATGCCTTCAATCCCTGCACTAGGGAGGCAGAGGCAGGAGGATCTCTGTGAGACCAGCTGGGTCTACAGAGTGAGTTCTAGCAGGACAGCCATGGCTACACAGAGAAATGGAAGGAAGGAAGAAAAAGAAAGAAATAAAGAAAACATAATGATGAAATTTTAAATTAGAAGAAAGATACCATTAAGACAGAAAATAGGCAAATGCAAATGAGCCAGAAATACACAGTTTCAAAAGAAAAATGGAGCTGAGAACAAGATGAAGCCCTTATTTTACCAGCATCTGTAAGTTGTGCACATTTAAGCTTTACTTCTAACTCACAAGCACAGCACACATGCTTACTGCATGTGAATATCTGAGCAAGGCCGTCAGTCTGCATACAAGCTCCTCTCTGCCAATTCTGACTCTGATACCAGAATTTCCTGTGACACATACTAAGAACATTAGGCTTTCTGGTAGCTCTTTACTAGTCAAATACTCTTGAAAACTAAAATGCTATCAGGCTATTCATGCCTGCAGAGGCAGGAGATCAAGAAGTTCAAGGCCAGCCTCAGCTACATAGATAGTTTGAGGCCAGTCTGGATGAGATTCTGTCTCAAAGGAAAAACAAAAAACAAGAAACAGAGAACACTCAATAGTTTTGTAACAAGCTGCTACACTATCTTTCATAGCTGGTGGGTATGAATGAAACCACAGAACTCACAGATTGCACAAGTAAGGGCATGGGGATGGCCTTAACAAGTACTCACTTTCACAGTTTCTTCTGTGTTAAGCTTATTTCCTTTCACCAAGACAATTTGGAAAGGGTTATTGTTGTCCCAGACATGCTGTAAAAAGGAACAAAGGAAAGAGAGGCTTTTCAGTGAGAGAAATGATTATGACTTGACAGCTGTGGTGGCTAGTCATATGTCAACTTGACACAAGCTATAGTCATCTGAGAAAAGGGAACCTCAGTTGAGAAATTACTCCAAAAGGTTTGGCTGTAGGAACCTGTGGTGCACTTTCTAGACTGATGTGAAAGGGCCCAGCCCATTGTGGATGGAATCATCCCTGGGCTGGTAAGTCCTGAAATCTATAGAAAAGCAGGCTGAGCGAGTCATGGGAGCGTGCCACTAAGCAGCACCTCTCTGTGGCCTCTGCATCAGCTCCTGCTTCCAGGTTCCTGCCATTTGAGTTTCTGCCTTGGCTTCTCCCAATGAACTGTAACTCAGGATTTGTAAGCCAAACAAACCTTTTCTTCCCCACATTGCTTTTAGTTATGGCATTTCCTCACAGCAATAGCAATCCTAAGACACAAGTCATAGAAGACTTTCAGTTCTCACATAGGGCAAATTTATGAAAACAGAGCTCTGACCTAACAATTAAAAATCATAAATACTGCCAGACGGGGTGGTGCAAACCTTTCATCTCAGTACTCCAGAGGCAGAAGCAGGTGGTTTGAAGCCAGCCTGGTCTGGAGAGTAAGTTCTGGGACAGCCAGAAACCCTATCTTGAACTCCATCCCTCCTCCTCCCCCCAGATAACCATAAATATCAAATTAAGCATTATAACTATTAGCACTTGATTTTTGTGTATATTAATTCAAAGAAATGAAATGAGGGAGAGAGGTTAGGGAGGCTGGAAGCAAAAAGGTGATGTGCTGGCTCACATCTGTAATTCCAACACATAGGAAGCTGAGGCAGGAGGATTGCCATGGGCCTAAACTAAATAATAAGTTCCATGTCAGCCGAGTCCACAGTAAAACACTGTCTCAACCCCACACTCACCCCAAAACTGTTTTAATAGGTTAAATTAATAGAAATAAAATACACAGGACTTAGGCAGCTGAGGCAAGCTTGTCACAAGTCAGGGGACAGAGCTACAAGCAAGAGTCTGTCTAAAGAAAAGAAACAAAACTATACTTATACTTTAAATATAGAGAGAGTCTAATCTGCTAGTATTTGGTGTGGGAACACTAAAGTGCCATGTAGAAGAAAGCCCTTTTCAAGTGAATGGCGATGAACTTCTGGCAGATGTTGATTTCCACAGAAGGAGAAGTGAGCAAAGGAAGTGGGTCTGAGAGAGCAAGCTTGCAAACAGAAAAATCACATGGCTTTGGGTTTACCAAAGTGTGAGACGGGGATCTTACAGAAATAACTCGCGTTTTCTTTGGTGGTAAAGGGAGAGGAAGGTTGGAGGAGTTTCGGTTGATGGCAGCCTCTATGGCAATCATTTCTTGCTCATACATCTTCTTGATCTTGCAACATTCCACAAGGATGAAATGGGGCAGGGTCCTATTCATTACACAGTTCCGGATATACTGCAGTAGCAAAAGAGACAGATTTTTCAGGCAAACACTTAAAACAAAGGAAATCAATCTGTACAACACTATACTAAATGTACAGTACAGGTAAGTTACATAATTCAGTATCAAGAATATAATCATTTGAAATCACAGGAAGGCTAGAGATGACTCAGTGGTTACTGGCTGCTTGTCCAGGGGACCTGCTCGGGATTCCCAGCACCCACATACTGTTTCACTCTAACTTCAGGTCCAGGGGATCCTGCATCTACTTATGGCATCCATGGGCACTGAATGCAAAAGGTGCAATCCATACACATGGGCAAAACACCCATACACATATAATAAAAATAATTTTAAAAACATTACAACACAAGAGCCAATGACATGGCTCATTGGGTAAAGAGCCACATTTATGCTTGAGCTACATGGTGGTGGGAGAGGAACAACTCCCATAGATTGTTCCCTGATCTCCACAAGCACACCCTGGTGCACACAAACACACACAAAATAAGTAAATGAAAATGCAATAAAATCGCAACACAGCTGACGTGGTGGTGCATCGTGAGGAAGCTAAAGTCAGGGACCACAAGTTTGAGGTCAGTTAGCCCAGTATGAGCAATATGGAGACCCTATCTGGAAGTAGACCTGCCTAGCAGGTACAAGGAACTCAGTCTAATCACCAATATCAAACAAACAATCAAACAGTCAACAACAAAATCCCACATAAAATAGCTACTGCTAATTGAGCACCTCATTACTAATTACTAGGAACCAAGAGAGATGCATACATTGTGGTTCTTCTGAAGAGCTCCACTTCACAGTTCACAGCCATGATGAGAACCAGAAAGGGATAACTCATACACCTGCATCTCTAAGACCCAAATATAAACTGATTTGTCTGGTGCCCAGGTCACAGTTTGGCCAATTAGCAACAACAAAAGAAACAAAAAACTAAAAGAATCTTTTCTTTTTAAAATGTATTATTATTCTGTGTACATGTATAATGTATGTGTGTGGGTTTGCATACCACGGCTAACATATGGAGGTCAGAGGACAATTCTATGGAATCATTTCTCTTTTTCCACCTTTATGAGTTCCTGGGATTGAACTCAAGTACTCAGTATTACTCAGCAACCAATTTCACCTGCTGAGCCATCTTACTGGCCCTTAAAAAAAACTTTTACTTTTCCTACAAGATGCTTGCAAGTATCTATTTAACAAATACTTTTTTTACTTCCTCCAGAATATATCACTTAAATCATATGTTTGTGATGGGGCAAGTCCTTCTATATTTATCTTATTGGTTGTTGAATAAAGCACTGATTGGCCAATGAGGCAGAAAGACAGGTGGGACTAGGAGTCAAGGAGGATTCAGGGAAATGTAAAAAGAAGTCTTGTGATACAGGCAGGAAGTGACATAGCAGGCAGACTCATATATAAGCAGAGACAAGCAGGAAGTCGTTCTCTTGCACTTCCTCTTCCTCCTGCTCTCTTCTCTACAGAGCAGCCATGTTATCCCAGAAGATAAGTCTTATAAGATATATAGATTTGTGATAATTAAGACTGAGCTAGCATATAAGAAATCCTAGTCAATTGGCCAGCAGCATTGTGAACTAATATAAGACTCTGTGTGTTATTCTGGGTGCCCATGTGGCGGTGGGGCTCGGGTGGATGGAGGAAAGACTTATTGTTACATGTTTGCATAAAGAAATAGTAAGTAGCTATGTATAACAAACAGTGTTAGGAATTCAAAATGCTATAGGAAAATGTTGAGCACTGATATAATCCACAAGTACAGTGCAAACACACAGACACACATTCACATGTACAATCATTGTGCTCAATGCAGACATAACTAGGAAAAACAGGCAAACACTTGCCCAAAACTTAGTAATGATTACTTAGGGGCAGGATCCAGTAATAGATGTTTAATATGTAATTCTGCAAAGATTTCTGTGGCTTCCAAACACTCAGTCACAGACACTTCATGAAAGATGAGGAAGTTAGAGACACCATGTATACTGTTCATCTAATGAACGGTCAGTCAAAATACATACCTGGAACTGAATTAGTGGATGTTCTCCAAATACATACTCCACTCTGCCACTGACTTGTAACACACAGTCATAGGGGCTAACTTCATCTTCATTTCCGTGAATAGTCAAGCGTTTCTGGATTGCCAATTCATTTATTTTTATAGGCGTCAAATTGGGAGACACTTGAAAACTAAATACATCCTAAAAAGAAAGAAGGCAGAAAACATACTTGATTTTATGCTTGGCTAAACACAATTGTGCTCAAAGTTTATAACAAAATGAACAATGATAATGTGAGTTTGCAGACACCCTTTGTGCTTTATAGTCCAGTAAACTATTCTATATGCTAAACATGTACACAGATATTTGTTTTCTGATCATTTGTAAGTCATGTTCCTGTATTCTGAGTGTCACAGCTCCCAAGGGAAAATTAGTATTTAGCTAAAGTTGCTTGCATGGTGGCATCCTCCTATAATCCCAACACTTAGGAGGTAGAGTCAGGAGATCAGGAGGTCGGGCCAGCCTGGATACTTTCCATCTGTATACTAACTTCACTCTTTGGAGAATACACTGGTCATTTTAAAAACAAATATTCCTTGAGGTGCTTCCTGGTTTTATGAAAATAAAACAATGTGATTGATATATTTGGCTGTTTACTATTTCTTTATACAAACATATTATTTAAATGTCATAATCATTTGTTTTGTTTCAAAGAAAAAAAGCCCACATCAAAAGTTAATAGGTAATAGGCCAGTGGATGGTGTCCTATTATTACATAATCTGGGGCCAAGGGTACAGCTCAGCAGCAGCCTACTCACCTAGCATGATGGCCTGATTGTCTTTTATTGTTGTTGTTTGTTTTGTTTTTTTCAGTTTTAGACAGAGTATCTCTGTGTAGCCTTGGCTGTCCTGAATCTAGCTCTGTAGACCAGGCTGGCCCTGAACTCAAGAGTTTTGCCTGCTTCTGCCTCTAGAATTAAAGGTGTACATTAGTAGGCCATGGCCTACATTCTGATGTCCAGCACAGAGAGAGAGAGAGAGAGAGAGAGAGAGAGAGAGAGAGAGAGACAGAGAGACAGAGAGAGAGAGTGTGTGTGTGTGTGTTTTTGGGATGTGGAATCTGTATTAGTAGTTGGCAAGAAAAATATCCATACCTTATTACTGATTAAGCCATAAATTAATGATTTCTGTCCAGTTTTACAGAGAGAGAGAGAGAGAGAGAGAGAGAGAGAGAGAGAGAGAGAGAGAGAGTATGCCATTGGGGAATTGAACCTATGGCCATGTGTATACTAGATAAATGCCCTACTTCTGAGCTACACAAACACCAACCAAAACAAAAACGGGTTAGAGCTATAGTTCAAGTGTTGGCCTGGCGGGCATGAAGCCATGGACTCAAACCTCAGTGATGCATAAACCAGGCTAGCATGTATACCTGTAATGCCAGTATTGGAGAAAAGGAGATAGGAAGATTAAAGGTTAAAAGCCATTCATGACACCTGCCTGAAAAAAGTAAATATAAAAGAAAGAAAATGGAGGGAGGGGAGATCATGCTGACTAGGCTTCTTCTTTTTCTCTACTGTTTAAAGTATCTGGAGATGGCTCAGCAGTTAGGAGCACTGGCTGCTCTTCTAGAAAACCTGGGTTCAATTCCCAGCACCACATAGCTGTTTATAACTACAGTTCTGGGGGATCCAATATCCTCTTCTGGCCTCTGTGGCATACATGTAGTGCACACGCAGGCAAAACACTCATACGTGTACAATAAAATTAAAATATCTCATAAATGTTTTCATTGTTTTAGAACTGTAAAAAGCAGTTAAACAGTTCAGTTTGACAACTCCTTTCTGTACTATTATAACTTATAGAAAAGTGCTTGTTTGTGTTTGTTTTTTAGACAGTCCTATGTAATTATAAACTAAGTCCATTGACTCTACATTTTGGGGGGGTATAAAGAATATAATTTATAATTATTTTCTAATATCCAAAACCAAAGAAAATTAGAAGTATTTATGATATTCCTCATGGATGTACTTATAGAAGGAAGTAACTTAGATTCTTAGTCTTTAAACTTAACAGTCCAAATTTTAAGAAAATATACAAAGAGGAACGTTAACACTCTAATAAATATCCCACATCAACTTACTTAAATTTGCAAATAATTAAATTTGAGAATTCGAATTCATTTGCAAGTATTTTGCTGAGAATTATTATTCCTTTGTTTGTAAGGAATATTGATCCAAAATTTTCTTTTTGTTGATTCTTTGTATGGTTTTGGTATCAGGTTGACAGTGATTTCATAAAAAGAATTAGGAAATGCTCCTTCAATATCTATTTGGTGAACTAATTTGGAGATTGTTGACATTAATTCTTCTTGGGTAGAATTCTGCCCAGAATCCATCTGGTCCTGGGCTTTTTTTTGGTTGAAAGACTTAATCACTGCTTCTATTTCACTACAGGTTATGGGCTTGTTTGAAATGGAGAATAAGCACTTAATTACCACAATACTGCAATATTTTAAAGTGACTCTACAAGGTTTTTTTTTGTTTTTGTAGTAGTGCTTTCTAAGCAAGAAGTGCTTCTAAGAACATAGCAGCAGTCTGGAAAAATCAGAGGCTAATTATAAAATCATAATAATCAAACACTACCTGGCTATTTTCAAAATGCACAGCCACGATCAGCTTCCCTCCATACAGTTTATCTTCCAAGTTCTCCAGGACAGATGCCTCATGCTCCGGTGGATACGTGTGCTTTAGCCAGTCAATCCAAGACAACCCCACTAGGGACTGAATCTTGTCCTCGCTGAATTTGCGCATTTTTCTTCTAAATTCATTCACTTCAGGATCCTTCAAGGCATCAAATTCATGAAGACCTAAAGAAATTTGTAAAGACATCATTTTTTTAGTACATAATAATTTTTTGAAAAAGAACACAAAATATCTTCAATGTAAACTAAAATAACTTGGATATTTGTCTTTTGCCAAGCAGACAAAAAAGATGACAAACACAGGCAAAATAAGTCTCAAGTATGAAATACACATGCTGTTGGATCTCTAAAACACAAAAATTACAATATTATGCAGAAGTTCAGATGGGTTACCAGTGTCACAACCATGAAAACTGGGCATGGAGGCACATCTGTAATACAGGTAAAATTTGTGGAGTGGAGGCAAGACAGCTGCTACAAGTTTCAGGACAGCCAAGGTCAAAGAGTAAACATGTATACACTCACAAAAGTACAAATGTATAGTAAAAAAATGAATACCATAATACACAATTTAAAACCACATGATAAATGGGCCAATAGATTTTCCTGGATAGACTTACACCTGTTAAAAACAATACATTTGAACTCCCAGAAGGTGTATGTCTAACCAGCCACATATGCCCCAGGATAGTATGTGTCTCAACACAAAACATTTGGGGGGTGGGAACGTCTGCGTGGTTCTTGACCATAAACTCTGTAGGTGATAACATCATGTCGGCTACAATGGAAGTTTTAGAGTGCACGGTTAACATTCTTCTATTGCTAGATAATATCAATAATACTGATGGATACCACGGGGAGGAAACAGAAATGAGTACCTAGTAACCAAAACCAAAATCTTACTACAAACTATGTCTAATCCACCTCTTTCTGTGGAATTTGGGGGTGTGGGGAATATTTGAGAGAGGATTTTACCACATGGTCAGGCTGCTCTCAAATTCAAATTCAAGGCAATCCTCATGCCTTGGCCTGACGGCTAAACCTGCTAGATACACTGCCATACCCAGCTCTAAAATGCCTTTTCATTTAAATGTCTCTTAAGTTGTCTACCTGCCTCAGTTTTTGCAGCCATCAACTAATCCTAGCCCTCAGCATCTTTCCTTGGAGCAACTAATACAACTTTTTCATGGATTGATTTGTTGAACCCTTTTAAATGAGAAGTTACATAAGTTTGTTTGCTGAAAGGATAGACACATACATGAGTGCACACACACGCTCATCAGAAGACAGTTTGTGGGAGTTGGTCTCTCCTTCTACCATGTGGGTACCAGGAATCAACCTTAGGTTGTGAGCTTAGTGTCTGATGCCTTTACTCACTAAGCAGCCTCGTAAGCCTTCCACTTGAAGGCCTAACCTCTCCAATGTTACAGTTTGAACAAGCTTTCTTAAGTGCTAATCTGATCATGCTACTTCCCATTAAATTCTTTCAATAGAAAATTTCCCAGATGGGGCTGGAGAGATGGCTCAGCTGCTAAGAGTGTGCACTGTTCTTGCAGAAGACCAAGTATGCACACAGCACCCACACTGTGTGTGGGGGGAGGGGGTGTTCACAATTACCCGGACCTCCAGCTCCAGAGAACTGGACGCCCTCTTTTAGCCTTCACTGGCCCCGCACTCTCGTACACATACCCAAACCCAAACACAGAATTTAAGAATAAAAATAAACTTCTTTTAATTTCCCAGGAAGCTGAGTGAGACCAGCGTCCAAGCCACTAACTGGGCCAAGAGAATGTTCACAGAACCCAATGCAGGTGAACTCCAGAGGACTAAGACAGTACTCCAGTCCTCAGCTCTAGCACAGGCCTCTGGAATGTCACTACCCTCTTTGGAAAGGTTTTATTGTGTGAATGTTTAACTTTTGCCCATTCTCTTGAATTACCAGGAAAAAAAAATTCCAGCTCAACCAAGATAAAATGAATCCTTCCACACTGACGAACATTCCAGGTCAGTTTGCTCCACTAAAATTACATGTAGAATTTAAGGCACTATAGCAGATACGGTATCCTCCATGTCTTCCAAGTTCAGACATGTCACTGGATCTGAGGGGGTAATGGTAGGAGTACTGGTTTTGGAGATATTCTTGAAGATCCATAGCAAAGTGAACTAATGAGACAAGCATGCTTCTCTGCAGAGCAGTAACTGTCCACTGTGGAGCGGCGGGCTACTCATGAATGAGAGGCTGCGTTTGGTCACTGTCTTTGTTAGAATGATACATGAAAAGGAAGTGTGTGTGGGGGGGGGGTTCTGAGCTACTGTGCACCAGCAAATTAGTCTTTGCTACTTACCCGTGGGGCCTCTTTCAACAACCATTATCAAGTCTCCTTATCCTCTGAGAGGCCACTTTTCAGATTCCATTCTCTTTTGCTCACCTTTCCTATAACCCCGTTCACCGGCAAAACTCCTCCTCAGCACTGACGCCTGTCTAGAATTACACACTCCCAGCAGCCTTCCTCCAGTCACCAGTGAACTTAAGACAGCAGCTTGAGACTGGGCTGTCTGCTTGCCCATCCATCATGTCCCACAGTGGGGTCCATACAGCACGACTGTAGTTCCAAGTACAAAGATTCAACACACACTGAAGAATGGAAATCACTATTGACCTCGTAATAATTTCTTTAACATGTATGTGTGAGGGTTTATGCACATGTGTGTACATGTATGCAAGTGAGGGCCATCGAACAGTTTCAGGTGTTATTCTCAGCAACATCCTCCACCTTCCTTTGAGACACCATCTGTCACTGCTCTGGAACTCACTAATTAGGCTAGACTGGGCAGCCAACAAACTTCATGATCCTCCTGTCCCTGAGTCTTGAGTGCTGGGATTTCAAGCATTTGCTCAGCATTTTGTTGCTGTTTGTTTGTTTGTTGAAACAGGGTCTCTCTATGTAGTCCTGGCTGTCCAGGAACTTGCTATGTAGACCAGGGTGACCTCAAACTCACAGATCTTCCTTCCATGCCTGTCTCCCAGTGCTGGGATTAAAGGCATTCACAACAACACCTGGTCTATGTATATATACTTTTTATGAATTTTGAGAACCACTACAAAATCAAATTTGGGGGCCAGTAGGCTGGCTTGGTAAGTAAAGATGCATGCTGCCAAGGCTGATGGCCCGAATTTGATTCCTTGAACCCATGTGATAAAAGGAGAGAATGCACCCCCACAACTTGTTTTTCCACCTCTACATGTGCACAGACAAGCACACACATAAATAAATGCAAACAAAAGAAGTGAATTCAATTTTGGAGCAAGTGAGATGGCTGAGTGAGTGAAAGAGCTTGCTGCACAGGATGAATGTTCTGAGTTCAATCCCCAGAACTCACAGAAGGAGAGAAGCAGTTTGACAGCTATCCGCTGACTCCACATGTGCACTGTGCACTCATGAATCCACACACTTACAACAATAAGAATTTAATAGCGTAAAAATTAAGGGCTAAGGCTAAGCATAGTGGCATACTTAAAAGCATAGTAAAAGCAGGTGGAGTCCAAGTCCAACCAGCATGTTTTACATAATAAGTTCCAGTTTACTGCAGGCAGGACATAATAATAATAGTAGTAGTTATTATTATTATTATTATCTAAATGGGGGAAAAGGCAAATGTCTATAATCTGAGCAATTTAGAAGGTAAAGGCAGGACTATCTCAAATTAAGGACAGCAAGGTCTAGATAGGCTGGTTCCAGGTCAATCTGAATAGTATAGCAAGACCCTGTCTCAAAAATAAAACTACTATGTGCTAGTGTTCTTGGTACCAGAAGGCACTCTGCATGCTACACTGATCCAGCTACAAGCCCTTCAATCTATAATTGTGTCCAGCTTGCAAAGCAAGCTAGGGCAATGGTAAGCACAAAGTTTGTAGATAACCAATCAATATCTTATCTGATTTAAGGCACCCTTCATGAGATGGATCCCATACCCAGTACTGCTTGGATGACCAAGAACCTGGGACTAGATAGTCCAGGGACCTAGAGGAAAACCAAATACTACTGTTTTACTAAAGGAGCATAGCATGAAAATGACTCCTAATTATAGTCTGCTATACTCATAGACCAATGCCTTGTCCAGTCACCATCTGAGAAGCTTCCTCCTGCAGCAGATGGGAACAGACAATATGCAGAGAGTAAAAGACCTTGAACACCCAACCCTAAACAGGATCCTTCCATCAAATCCCTCCCCTCAGGCACAGAGAACCCTGCAGAAAACATGGGTGGAAAAGAGTACAAGGGGATAGAGGACACCAAGGAAACAAGGCCATCTAAACACAGCAGGTCATGTGAACCCAGAGACTGAGGCAGCAGGCATAGGGCTTGCTCAGGTCTATACCAAATGGGGACCTACAGCTAGGAGGAGAAGTGGACACATGCCACCATCCCAAACCCAGAGCTATTTCCAACTGTTAACTACTTGCAAATGAAAAAAATAATTTCCTATGCCAGACAGTGGTGGCACAAGTCTTTATTCCCAGCACTCAGGAGGCAGAGGCATGCAGAGCTTTGTGAGTTCAAGACCAGTCTAGTGTAAGTTCCAGAGCAGAGCAAGTTCCAGAATGGTCCAAAGCTAAACAGAGAAACACTGTCTCAAAAAACAAACAAACGAAAAAATTAGTTTTCTACAAGAAGTCTCACTGGAGAAACAAACCACTTTTAAGGGTAGGCCCCACGCCCAACAGTAAACGGCCAACACAAAACAAATTGAACGGCATCTTTATCTTTGGAGGTTCTTTGTTGTGTCAGGGCCTTTTCTTTAAGCCTTACAAGTCCTTTGTGTGCATTTTATGGGATTCCTGTGGGTGGGAGCATGTGTCTCTGTGTTTATATGTGCTGCTTGTGCTTTTTCTTGGGCTCTTTTCCTTCTGTTTGTTTTATCCTATTCTAATTGGTTGTTTTGCTTTATCTTATTATATATTTTATTATTATCCTTTAGATGCCTTTTTGTTTTCTAACAATACAGAAAGGGGGTGGCTTTGGATGGGAGGGGTGGTAGGGAGGAACTGGGAGGAGTGGAGGGCATAATTAGAATGTTACATGAAAAACATGTTCTTTTAATAAAATATAATTAGTCCTTAAAACTTTAGAAATTATAAAAATTAATAAAAGTTTGGGGCTGGAGAATGACTTAGAAATAATGATGCCTAACATTTATGGGGCTTTAGGTTTCATTACATGGACTACTACTGACAGGAAAAACAAGTGCCATGAATAACTTAGGTTAAGTAATTTAAACTTAATTTTCTATATGCCTTCTCCTAGGAAAAGACAGAAAACAGTGCATGATGTATAGACAAATATTATATTTAAAAAGCATGAGAAAACAGTTTGGTCACACTAAAAATATTACTAAATACATACCGCCAGGCAAGCTATCGAGTGACCAGTCTCAGTCAGGACTAGTGAGTGTGGCCATGGGAGGCTCAAGCAAGCCAAGAGCTGCAGACCAGCCTGGGCAAGATACTTAACCCAGTCCCAAACAAAACAAAACCCCAACCATGGCTAGGGGAGGTCACTGTGTGATGACGCTGGGGTCTGAACCCAGGGCCTGGCACATCTCAGTTCAGCGTTCAACCGTTGGGCTACATTCACAGCTCTCTTCTGAAATGTTTATTCTGAGACAAGCTCTCACCAACTTGCAAGGCAGCCTTAAGGCTTCAACTTGTGATCTTTCTTCCCTGGCCTCTCAAGCATCTGAGATTACAAACCTCCGAAACCAGACTCAGCTCAAAAGCTCTCTTCAGACTGCTGATCAACCCCGTCTGGCTGTGATTCCATTTCACAGGGTACTGTAGAAAACAAGGCAGCAAAGCGTGCCCTTTCACGGGAGGGGCCCCTTCACGGGAGGGAGCAGGCAGAGCAAACAGGAGCTCTAAATAATTATTTAGAATGAATGGTAAAGAAAATGTCAAGCACATTACCCTAGAGGAAACAGTATTTTTAGCCTGCTCAGGGCAGTTCTGCTGTAAAAGTTCTATTGTTTTCTTTGGACAGAGAAGGCAGCAACCTTGTTCCTGAAGTTAAACTGAAGTAATTGTTTATTGTTTTCTCAGGAGGCATGACCTCACCCAGCCCTGGATCCAGTCATTATGGACAGAGCGGCAACTGCATACACCAGACTCTGTAGGTATGAAGAAGAGTGAGGACTCTTTCTAAAGCACAGACTTCCTATATAAAAACCACCTTCCAACATATGAGAGCTCAGAGAACTGCCAGATCCGCTAAAATGCAAAATTTACAGAACAGCTAAGAGCATGTAAACTGCTTAATTGTGCCATAAACACTGTTCATATCTTGGTCAACCTGCAGAGCACATTACACAAAACACAGATGCAATAAGCCACAAGACACTGCATGAGATTTAGCATCGACTGTTTTCTATCAGACTGGTGTGCTGTAGTTGGGTAAAGGATGCCAGATGGGAAGACAACACTCAGCTCAGTCACACTGTAGATAAATCCTAAAGACATGCTTTATCGAGTATATCATGTAATATTTGTATTTCCTAAATTTGGTGAACTTAATGATGGCTAGTTAATCCACATCTGAGATTAAAATGACCATTAAGAGTAATCTAAGTTTGGGCCTACAGGATGGCTTAGTGGGTAAAGATGCTGGCCATCAAAGCTGAAGACCTGAGTTCAATCCCACGCACCCATGCAGACAGTGTTAAGCAAACATCAAAATAGATAAATAAATGCAATAAAAAATTTGGGGTGCTAGATAAGCACCTTACGAGTTATCCCCTGACCAAGAAAAGCTAACAAAAAGGGGGTGGTACTATACTATGTTACTGTAGTGAATCTTGCCAAAGCAGGTAGTCAAATCCAGCTCCAGGGGAGTATCTGTTTTGGGATTAATCTTCGAGTAACCCCATGTAGTTCCTAAATGGGATCAGCACTTTCTCTAAAGTACTGACAGACATTAAATCTTGTCTGCTAAAACTTCTATAGCAGGAGAGAATTAATTCCTCTATGTTCTTAACTTTCTCCATCACTTTTCTTTTCCTTTTTTTTTGGGGGGGGGCAGGGTCTTGTGTAGCCCTTGGCTGGTCTTACCATGCCTTGTATTGGAGGATGACTTTGAACCCCTGACCCTTCCAGGATAGTCATCCTTCCAGGGCCCAGGGATTCATGAATCCTAGGCAAGCTTCTACAAAACGAGCTACATCTCCAGCCCCTCAAAATAATTTAAGGAATCATAGATACAGCTTTATTTGATACAAAGATAACTTCTAGTTAGTTAAAAATAACCAGTAAGCTGGGTGTTGGTGGCGCACGCCTTTAATCCCAGCACTCGGGAGGCAGAGGCAGAGGCAGGCGGATCTCTGTGAGTTCGAGGCCAGCCTGATCTCTAGAGTGAGTGCCAGGATAGGCTCCAAAGCTACACAGAGAAACCCTGTCTCAAAAAACCAAAAGCCAAAACAAAATAATAATAAAAAAAAACAGTAAAAGAGCAAAAATTTGCCAAGAACATGAATTGATTTATAGAAACATCAATCAACTTATGGTCTTAACTGGTAAATGACTATACATAAAATAAGTTAGTATTATGAGGGAATTATGTGTAGTTTATAACAAAAAGTAAAATAAAAACCATTTTTAGGAAAGGGTTTCTCAACCAAGTAACACAGTGTATGCCTCCAATATCTGTACCCACAAGGCTGAGGCAGGGAGATGGCAATTTCAACCTTTCTGTCTGTCTGTCTGAGACAGGGTTACACTATGTATCCCTAGCTGGCCTGTACCATGCTATGTAGACCAGTCTGGCCTCTAAGTGCTGGAATTAAAGGTATGCATCATCACTTCAGTGGACAATAATTTCAAGACCTCACCCAGTCTGCATAGTAAGACAGGAACCAATCTGGGCCATTAACACCATGTATTGGGGAATTTCTCAAATTATCTGTGGTAAAGAAATAGTTATTTCTGTAAAATAAAAATTAATCAAATCAAAATTAAAAAAAAAAAAAAACAAATCAAGGGCTGGAGAGATGGCTCAGAGTTAAGGGCACTGGCTGCTTTTCTCGAGGTCCTGAGTTCAATTCCCAGCAACCACCATGGTGGCTCACAACCATCCGTTATGAGATCTGGTGCCCTCTACTGATGTGCAGATAGATATACATGGAAGCAAAATGTTGTATACATAATAAATAAAAAATTTAAAAAAAATCAAAAGAAAAAGACATGTAAAATGCAAGCCCTTGAATACTGTGGCAATATCACATTGCTAGAGATATGTCTAAATATTCAACCTTCAGTTCTCACAGACTTTATTCTCAAACCTTGAACATTAATAACAGTTCATGAACAAAATGTTAAAAATATTATCTTAGAATGTACTTACATGTTAACACATAGAACAAAGATAATAATGCTGAGAATTCGTACTGAAAACATTTAAATTACCTTTTCCTATAAGGACTCCAATTTTTGAGTCCAATTTTTCTGCTGGGTCACAACTTCTAGTCACTAGTTTTAGAACTGGAAGAAAAGGTCTGACATCACAAAGTCTCCGAGTTTCATCTTCAAGTTCCTCATATACAGCAGTCTGATTCACACATGCAAACATGTAGGAGTCAATGTCCATAAGGAGGTTAAACATTGGGTAATTGTGAACGTGCTTCCATAACATCTGCAGGGAAAAACATTAAGACATCACCTGGAATACTGGCACATGTATACAAAGACACATATACAAGGATGCACACTGCCGCAATTTGTGTCCAAACTCATGGGGCTAGAGATGACTCAGCAACCGAGAAGACCAGCTGAGAGGGATGGTAGTCCGTGCCTTTGATCACAATAATTGGAAGGCAGAGACAGGGGGATCTCTGTGAGTTCCAGGCTAGCCTGGTCTTCAGAGTGAGTTCTAGGACAGCCAGTGCTAGAGAAACCCTTAAGGGGGCTGGGGGTTGGGAGGACACTGGCTGCTCTTTCAAGAGTCAGGTTCAAGCACCAGTGCCCCACACTGCAGCTCACAAAAACTTTAGTCCCAGAGGATCTGATGCCCTCTTCTGGCCTTTGCAGACACTGCAAGCATGTTATACATAGACACACATGCAGACAAAACACCCGTAAATATGTATTTGGAAAAAGTCAAACCTCATAGAGAAGCTATATGTTTAGCAGTAAGGACCTGTCAATTGAATTATGGATTATAATAAGATAACGAAAACAGAAATAAAACCTGACTTGAAGACGGGCACATGCCTTTAATCCCAGCACTCAGAGGCAGAGGTAGGTGGATTTCTAATTTTAAGGCCAGCCTGGTCTACATAGCATGACAGGCTCCAAAGCTACACAGAGAAAGCCTGTCTCAAAAAACAAAACAAAAATCAACTTGGAAATGTATGCCACATGGATCAATGATTCTCTTTTTTTTTTTTTTTGAGGGGGGTTGGGTGGGGGGGTATAAGTCTATATGTGAGCAGGTTTTCAAATAATTTGGGCTGGAACTCCTGGAACTCACCACACACACACACACACACACACACACACACACACACACACAATCATACCTGGCAAAGTATGTTTGTTTTCCTAGTCCTTTCTTTTTTAAACAAATGTTGTATATATTGTATTGGTAAGCTGTCATGTGCTATTTGAGTTCACTGAGAAGTTGGCTCTGGGAGTTAGGTTGTTCCCTTCCCTATTTCAGACCCCAAACCTGTTTGTCTCAGATGTATCTTCCAGAGACGGGAGGACCACAGCCCAACAGTGAAAAACACTGTTCTTGAGAACAGCTGGAAGATGAACTATTCCTACAGGTTACCCTTGAGGTGCCTGCAGTGAACACAGGAGTCAGAAATTCAACCATGGGACGCTCATCTCCGAGGAAGCTCAACCCTCAGAACTTGAGCTGACTAAATTGGCTTAGCCAGCTGATTCCTGCTGGATGCTTGCATGCCCTGATTTGGTGATGTTCTGCTATCTATCTGACTCTTGCTATTTCTTCATTTACCTTTGTTAAATACTTAATAAGCTCACTCATTCAAAACCAAAAATATAGCTATTGCAGATCATTCTCCTGACCCTATGAAACAGCAAATTAAAATAGATTTAGTTATATAGGGAATATGTTCTGTATTCCTATGTAATATAACACAGAACACAAAATATGCAAAGAAATTGCCCATGGAGATTAAGAACCAATGATATTTAGCATTCCTAAAAATAACCTGTAATCAAAAAACAATCAAAGCTAGGCAGTGGTGGCTCATGCCTTTAATCCCAGCACTTGGGAGGCAGAGGCAGGCAGATCTCTGAGTTTGAGACCAGCCTGGTCTACAAAGAGCTAGTTCCAGGACAGGCTCCAAAGCTACACAGGAAAACCCTGTCTCAGAAAAAAACAAAAAACAAAAAACCAATTGAACAAAGTATGATGGTGAAATGGGCCTGTAATCCCAGCACCTGAGGCAGAGTCAGGAGGATCAGGAATTCAAAGTTACCCTCCACTATACAAGTTCAAAACCAGCCTGAGCTACAAGAAACTCTAAAAGTGTCTAAATTGTAAATCTTAATGTCATACATGTCAGTGGTTAACTCAATGGAGAGTATCAATGGTTAACTCAATGTCAGGCAAGGTTAGACATCCTACTTGTCACTGGCAACTGTAAAAAAGAAAGAAAGCTGGTGTGGTGGTACACAACTGTGGTCCTAGTACTTGGTCAGAGATGGGAGGAACAGTTCAAGGTCATCCTCAACTACCAGCCTGAGCTTCGGGAAACCCTGTATCAAACAAATAGCCAGGGAGCTGGAGAGATGGCTCAGAGGTTAAGAGCACCAACTGCTCTTCCAGAGGTCCTGAGTTCAATTCCCAGCAACCACATGGTGACTCACAACCATCCATAATGAGATCTGGTGCCCTCTTCTGGTGTGCAGATACATATAGAAGCAGAATGTTGTATACATAATAAATAAATAAAATTTAAAAACAAAAACAAAAACAAATAGCCAGGCATGGTAGCACATGCCTTTAATGCCAGTACTAGGAAATGGAGGCAGGCAGAACTCTATGAGTTTGGGGACAACCAAAATTTATATAATTGAGAGACACTGACTCAAAAAAAAAAAAAAAAAAAGGACAAGTAGAAACTCTCAGCAGTGATGCAGTAGCTAAATTCTGTATTTTCTTTTTACTTCAGAATTTACAGTTTTAGAATTCTCATGTATTAGGGGCTGGAGAGATGGCTCAGGGGTTAAGAGCACTGGCTGCTCTTCCAGAGGACCCAAGTTCAATTCCCAGCACCCACGTGGCAGCTCACAACCATCTGTAACTCCAGTTCCATGGGATCTGACAACCTCACAGACATACATGAGGCAAAACACAAATACAACAAAATGAATAAATCATTAAAAAGTCATGTATCAATTATTACAAAGTATATTTTACAACTTCCCTGATTTTCTTATGCAACTTTCAATTTAGTCAAAATTGGACCATATAATTTAATGAGACTTTTTTCCAAACATCTGTTTTATATGTAGTTCCTGGTGAATTTCCCTTATGCTTAGCCTTATAATAAATGTACTGCAGAGAGCAGACAAGGCAGTTCAATGGGTAATGATGCCAACTCTGATGACTCAATTCAATCACCAAAACCCACATGATGAGAGAAAGCAGAGAACCTACTCCTGCAAGTTGTCCTGTGACCTCCTAGGAGCACAGTTCTGCGCACACACAGAAATACAAGTACAAACGAAGGAATACTGCCGTGAAAGGCATCAGCACAATTAGCAATGCTTGCAGTCAAGGTTCTAAGTGCTTTGTTTAAGACTAGCAATGAACCAGGCTTTAGGATCCAGAGTATATGACCTTGGGCAGGGCCTCATGCCTCTCCCCAGACATTTCCTCAGAATCTCAAACAACTGTTAGCTGTGTTTACAATGAAGATTCGTTAGCTTCCTGTATTCCCTGTGATCTAGACTTTCCCTTATCAACTGTAGTCCTGCCAGGTGCACCCTGTCTCAGGATCCATCTGGAGATCTTATTTAGATTCATTATTGACCATGAAAAGAAAGAGCCCTACAAGCCCTGAGCTGTATATATGACTGTTGTTAAAAAATAACCTAACAGTATTCTTATCTTCAAGAAGTCTACATGAGGCTGGGCAGTGGTAGCCTTTAATCCCTGCACTCAGGAGGCAGAAGCAGGCAGATCTCTCTAAATTTGAGGCCAGCCTGGTCTACAAAGTGAGTTCCAAAACAGCCAAAGAAACCCTGTCTTGAAAAACCAAAAAGAAGCCCGAAAGCATCATTGCCAAGCATGGTGGAATATGCCTTTAACCCCAACACTCAAGAAACAGAAGCAAGAAGATTTCTGTGGCATTCAAAGCCAGCCTACTCTATATAGCAAACTCCAGTCCAGCAAAGACTACATAGGAAGACTCTGTCTTAAAGCAACTCACATGCAAAGGCTTTATTAAATCCCAGCTCTGGGACAGGAAAGATGGTTGAATGAATAATGGCTCAGACCACCAAGCCTGATAACTTTAGTTGGGTCCCCAGAGCCCACATGGTGGAAGGACAGAACCAGCACCCACAAACTGCCCTCTAGGACCAGTTTGATTCCCAGTACCCACTTCTTAGTTCATAACTATCTGTAACTGGTCTCAAGTGATCTGATGCCCTCTTCTGACCACCACAGGCACTACACACACACGGTGCACATATAACACATATAGGCAGGCATATACATAAATTAAAAAAAATTTAAATTAGGTGAAACTCACTGGGCTACTTCATGCAACAGAGTGAGGAGCTGTGCCTGTCCCCTAAGCACTGACATCAGCATGTGGGAGGCTGAATCAAGAAGTCAGGCTCATGATAAGGGTACTGGGGGAGGGGGGGGGAGGCGACGACACACAACCAAAACATCACATAGAAGAAAGAAGTGTGCCAAGCTCAAAAGTCAGGAATTACAACAGCAGAAAGCCTTCAACTTTCTTGCCCTTCCACAGCAGTGTCTGCTAGGCAGTCCAGGCTGACCCCAGCTTTACTATGTAGCCAAGGATGGCCTGGAATACCCCATCCTGCTTCCATCTTCCAAACCCTCCCTCAACCAAGGGCTGAGATTACATCATGTCACCATGACAAGAGTCAACTTTCTTAATACAGCCATCACATACGGATCAGTAATAAAGGTGAGAGAATAAGCATGTTTATATGAGAAATAGGACACATCAAAAACTTTAACATCTGGCCAGGCATTGGTGGCACACGCCTTTAACCCCAGCACTCGGGAGGCAGCGGCAGGAGGATCTCTGTGAATTTGAGACCAGCCTAGTCTACAGAGCGAGTTCCAGGACAGCCTCCAAAGCTACAGAGAAACCCTGTCTCAAAAAACAAAACAATAACAAAAAATTTAACATCTCTCAGTTTTATCACATGATTTACACAAATATCATTTTCTTTAATATTTTTCCCACTAAATTACTCAGAAAGTAAGCTAAGCCTTGAGAAATTCTAACTATAAACATACCTGTTTAATATAAGAAATGGTAGCTTCCCGAGGTACTTCCAACTGGATATAAATCCCAGTGGGCAGAAGGAAATCCACAGATATGGCGCCATCAGAAGCGATCTGTGAATCCACTGCCCAGATGTCAAGGATGTCTGCCATAGCAGGAGGCATCATAGAGCTGAAGCACATTCATAACCTCAGGGCCCTGGAAGTCAAATAAAGTGAAAAAATAGGCATTAGATAATTTCTACCTAAGACACAACAATCCAGGCAGGTTGGAACACACTTACAGTCCTAAGCTAGTTGGGATGTTGAGGCAGGAAAATCTGTTGAGCCCAAGAGCTAGAAGGCTTGAATATGAAGCCCAGCAAGACTCTCGGAGAGAAAATGGAAAACCACCAATCTATAATTAGTTCTTTAAAAAAGGGTTCTTATTTTATGTGTTTGTGTGCCTCAGTGTGTATGTACACCATACACATACCTAGTGCTAACAAAGGTCATGGGGTGCCCTAGTAGAGCTGGAGTTATAGATGATTTTTGAGCTGTTCAGATTGGGTGCTGGAAACCAAACTCAGACCTTTTGCAAGAGCAGCAAATGGTCTTAAACCTCTGACCGGCCCCTACAATCAGTTCTTCATTTCAATATAGACAATAATGTAATAGAACCAATGAAATGTGTTTTTCTTATTTTAAGTATGGGGGAGGGGGTAACTGAAATGTGAACAAAGGTGTCCATAGGGGCCAAAGGCACAAGATGTGGCTGGCACTGGACTCACGGGCAGTCATGAGCCACCCAGGGTTGTGCTGGGGAAATGAACCTGGGTCCTCTTGAAGAGCAGCAAGTGTTCTTAGCTACTGAGCCATCTCAACAGACCCCTAAATGTGGTATTAAACAAACAAACAAACAAAAAAACAAAAACAAAGGAAAGGCTACAGAGCTGGTTCAGCACCAGACCCTACATGGAAAGAAGAGAACCCATTTCCACAAGTTGTCTTCCTCTAGGACACACACACACACACACACACACACACACACACACACACAAAACCTTTAAATATGGAAATCTGATTTTTAAAATTTAAAAATAATAAAATAGCTAGAGGAAGGCAGGCATGGTGGTTCATGTCTGTAATCCCACTACTTGGGAGACTAAAATAGAGAACCATTGAGTTTCAGTATCACCTGGGCTACACAGGGAGACCTGGCTTTTAAAAACAAACAAACAAACAAACAAACAAAAAACGGGCTGGCTGGACAGTGGTGATGTGAGCCTTTAATCCCAGGACTCAGGAGGCAGAGGCAAGCAAATCTCTGTGAGTTCAAGGCTATCCTAGTCTACAAAGCGAGTTCCAGGACAGCCACAGCTGCATAATAAAGACTTTGTCTCAAAAAGAGCACCCTACCCCGCCCCCCAAAAAAGGGGAAAAGAAATGCTTTTAAGAAAATAAAATGAGCCGGGCTTTGGTGGCACATGCCTTTAATCCCAGCACTTGGGAGGCAGAGGCAGGTGGATCTCTGTGAGTTCGAGGCCAGCCTGGTCTCCAGAGCGAGTGCCAGGATAGGCTCCAAAGAGAAACCCTGTTTCAAACAAACAAACAAACAAACAAACAAACAAACAGGCAACTCACTATTATTGAACCAGATCTATAGAGATATTATTTACTGAAGCACAGGGGTTGTCTTTTTTCTGTGTGACTTTTTCAACATTTATTATTCTTTGACAATTTCGCACATGTATATAATGCAGTTTGGTCACTGTAACCTCCCTCCTGGTGACCCTCTCCTGAGGAACTCCTCTTCCCAGCAAGACTGTATTCGCTCATATCTATTATGAGGGTTTTTGTTTGTTTTATTGTTGTTACTGTTGTTTTTGAGACAGGGTTTCTCAGTGTAGTCTTGGCTGTCCTGGAACTAACTCTCTGTAGACCAGGCTGGCCCCAGAGATCCCCCTGCCTCTGCCTCCTGAGGGTTGCTACCACCACCCGGCTTTTCATTGCATTTTTTGGTGACCCACTAAGTTTAATTAGTGTGGTTTTCGTGAGCGTGGTGAAAAGGTATTGGCTGGAGCATGGGCAACTGACTTGCAGCCACTTCTGAAGAAAATAACTCCCTATCCCCAGGCAACCATTAACTATCAATAGCTCCTCAGAGATGGTAAGGCCTGGGCCCCTCCCCTCAAGGGATATTTTGGATAATCAGGTTTTATCTCCATGGTTTTTGTAGACTAGCTGCTATATACTTAAGATGTTCTGACCTTATATAAGCAAGCTGCTTAATCTCTCTGGCCTTCAACACTCAGGAGGCAGTAGCAGGAGGAGCTCTTGAGTTGAGGCCAGCCTAGTCTATATAGCAAGTTCTAGACCAAGCCACAGCAATGTAGTCAGACTGTCACAAAAAAATTAACTGGATTAATTTATTTAAGAATACCCCCCCCCAAAGGACTGGAGAGATGGCTGCTCTTCCAGAGGTCCTGAGTTCAATTCCCGGCAACCACATGGTGGCTGACAACCATCTATAATGAGATCTGGTGCGCTCTTCTGGTGTGCAGGCATATATGCAGGCAGAACATTGTATATATAATAAATACATCTTAAAAAAAAAAAAAAAAATAAAAAAAAAAAAAAAAAAAAAAAGAATACCCCCAAAAGGTGCCTGGAATAGTCCATGGCATTTAAAAAGCACTAGAAAGAATGTTGGTTTACCTGAGAGCTAATATTAATGAGACCTGCCATTCTGAGATGAAAGGAACAGTGGTGCCTTTCATTCATGCTTCCAGTCATCACCCCTGATTGCTAGGTGAGAAAGCATTTAGAGCAGTGTTTCTCACTCTGTTGTTACTTAATTTCTCTGGGTAACAATCAGATTGTTATGAGTCTTAACAAAGACATTTCAACTTCATTTGTCACAGAGTTTTCTTTCATTAATTTGAATTTTCTCTGTTACTTCTGTGTTATATCATTCCTTTGGGATCAAGCGCTGGGGTGTCACTCTGTAGCAGAGTGGATTAACAATTCAAAATCAGTTCAAATAAGATGCCAAAATTACAAGATAGCAAGATGGCTCAGCAGTGCTGTGCAAGCATGGTAACCTGGGCTTGATCCCAAAGCCCAAGTAACGGTAGAAAGAATCTACCCATGGGCACCAGGCAGCACCCAGCCACACACACAATAAATGTTTTTAAAAAGAGAGATCAAAATGAGGAGCATACTTTAAAATCATACTCCTCCTGACCAAAACAAATACAATTTACATAACTATTTTACAACATTCCAAAATTCAAAATGTGATGAAGATGCTCAGGAAAAACAGAGCTGGCTGCTACAAAAGCTCTTACTCCAATGCAACATCTTAGGAGTATGTGCAGCAGGGCCACTCCTTGCCTTGTGACACAGGCCTTTCCTTAGGACTCATTTGAGGGACAAGTATTCAGTGATATTTTGTCCTATTTGTGAATGAAAGCCATGCAACAAGAGTAAGGGCTTCTTTTTTATTTAGGTTGTTAATCTATAAGCCAATACACAGAATCAAAAGCAGCAAAACCCTGGTCACAAAGCTGCTAGCATGTACTGCACGATCAGGGTGTGCTGGTAAAAGACACAATCAACAGTGACCCAAGTCCAAACATAAACAGCATCTACTACAGTTTTAAGTAGTTCTTTAAAGCAACCACAAAACACCTCTTACTAGTGTTCAGTCATTATGGTTCTATAGCTTACTACCAGATAACCTTACATGGCACAGGGGGGTCATATGGGTCTTAGCAGATGGAAGACGACAGGAAGAGTATGAGTAGAGACCAAGTGGTTTAACTAAGAAGCAGAGCTAGGTGTGTGGTGATGCACGCTTTTAGTCCCAGAACTGGGGAGGCAAATACAGGATGATCTCTGTGAGTTCAAGGCCAGCCTGGTCTACACAGAAAATCCCTGTTCCCAAAACCCAAAACAACCCCAAAAGGCTAGAAAAATCTTGACCAGTATAAAAGGAAAATATCTAAAAGTGTCACTGCTTGAATGATGGCTTCTTTCTGTTTCTTACTCCACTGGTGTGTCTAATAGGTTCCTGGACATGTTTTTTGAATGTCAGCGAATCTTCCAAGGATTTCTGATTCTTACTTGTAAGTACCGTGGCAATCAGGAATGACTCTGTATAGCAAAAGATACTCACATGTAACTGCTGTGAGAATGAGTCATGAGCCAAACTGTACAAGTGTGTAGCGGAGCTAGTGAGTAACCGACAACCCTCACATCTAGGAATTGAACCAGGGCCAGAAAGCCATCTGGATGGCAAACAGCACCATGAGAAGAATTTTAAATAGCTTCAGCTGTAGAAAAAGCACTGCTACAGGCGCTGGACCTTTTAACTATTTATCTACTGTCATTCTGAAAATAAGCGGTAACACACACAATTTTAAGAGTGTGTTACCAACACTGGCTTTTCTCCACAGCCATTTCAGATTTACTATTTTTTTGCACAATAATTTAACTTTGCTTTGCATACCATTTTTAAATTTTTTTTTTTCCCTTGGTGACCAATTTTCCTCTTAAGATATCTGGCCAAGGGGCTGAAGAGATGGCTCAGAGGTTAAGAACACTGACTGCTCTTTCAGAGGTCCTGAGTTCAATTCCTAGCAACCACATGGGGGCTCACAACCATCCGTTATAAGATCTGGTGCCCTCTTCTGGTTTGCAGATATACATGGAAGCAGAATGTTGTATACATAATGAATAAATAAAATCTCTTTTTTAAAAAGATATCTGGCCATGAATGACAACTACATTTGGGAAGAGCTTTCATTCTCCCTTGACATTTAAGGGGGAGTGGATAGCTAGTGATAATAGCAAGGTATCAGTCTTGAACATCTTTTCTCTAGAGGATACAGTAAGCCAGGAAAGTCAAACTGACAGTGTCATTCAGTGCAAGGCATTGAGCAAAGAGGAGGAGATAGGCTAGCTAGCTCAGAGGTGGAATCCCCACCTAGCAAGACAAGGACGTGAGTTCAATTAATATTTACTAAATATTCACTTTCTTAAAGGCATTCCACACATTTGACTGAGGAAAGATTTAAAAAATAAAACACTGGAACCAGAGAGATGACTCAACAGTTAAGAGCACTGGCTGATCTTCCAGAGGACCTGGGTTTGATTTTCAACACCCACAAGGTAGCTCACAACCATCTGTAACTCTCCAGTACTAGGGATCCAATG